GTCAACTGATCAGTCCCATGAAATAAATCCGAGATAAAGATATTTGTCAAGCGAGTTCTAGGAATCTAACATCCCCAACACAAGTAATACATAATCACTACTTAAATGATATGAACATTACCTACAATGAAGCAAATATATACAACTTAAGGGTTATGTAGTTTAAAACCTACCTATACAACTGTTGGATCATGTAGTTAGTATCTTACTTTGTTTATTAAAGCAAGGAAAACTGAGTAGTGTTAGTAGTAGTAGTAGTAGAGGTGCGCGCTACTTATAAGTAGTATATGACGCGAGTGAAAACATAATGTCTGACAGCAGAAGATGGGAGAAGATCAAGAAAGGAAGAGTGGGAACACAATGGGATTTGTATGAAACGCATGAACAGTGAAATGTCAGACAATGGATTGATGTTTGCAACAGGAACAGTCCAGTTCGATATGATGGATTGATATTTTGCAAATTAACGATTTACGATATGGTTTTCCTATTTTACCAATTAACTCTGTAATTTGCGATAAATACTATTCGGTTGCCCTCACCTGTGTTCTCCTTCACTACAGCAGTAGTGTCACTAATAACACAGCAACAGATAAACATGTATGTAGTTTCTGAATGTCAGCCTAGAAAAAGACTAAGAATGTACTATATATATATATATATATATATATATATATATATATATATATATATATATATATGTCATAGTAAACGAAACCCTGAATTCTGATTTTTGGTTTTTTTTCACTTCAATCATCCATAACTAACTAATAAATGTTCATTGTGTTTAGAAAAACAAAACACCCATTGACGACACACTTATAGATTCCAACATGATTTCAACTGATAACTAACTAACTAATATTGAGACTCGCTACTGGTTAACTTAAATTTACTCACAAATCAATGTTACATACACACTGACAATCCCATGCTAATTGAACATTGAAAATGTTCAACTATCAATTATCTTTGTCAATCAATTTCCTTCTGGTCTCACTGAATTGACTGATTCAAAAAATCTGATTTAATTATGTTCCCTAAAAGTTACTAAATATAATAACAACCAAAAAACAAATAAGTTCATTCAATTATTATTTACATGAAATCAATAGTAATTTGTTTTAAACAGATATTCTTATAAAATTAGTTTACGTTTATTTTTTGTTTTTGTTTTTTTTCGAATTAAATTTAAACTGTTCAGTAAACAAACAAACAAAATACTTGTTAAAACACAATAATTTGAATTTTGATCTACGCATCCAAATGGAATTCATGCAACATTGTAAACAAAAAGGCAAAATGCCTTCACACTAATGACCGTAATAACCATAATCTCATAAGACAATTTTTCAAAAGTTCTAAAATATGAATTTGATTAGTTCAACAAGGAATATATATATATATATATATATATATATATATATATATATATATATATTTGTTTCGATTCATTGATAATTTTATACAGGGATGTGTACAGAAATCAAATTTAAGTGATCACCAAAAGTAAATTCCTTAATCAATTAAATAAATAAAAAATTGTTCAAATATTCCCTCCCAAATAACAAGCGAACTACTATAGAAACTAATTAAATGCATAAATGTCAATATTGACTCGAAATCCTGTAGAAAATCACCATCATTTAAATCAGTCAGTTACAATGTATAACTTGGTATATTGTAGGGTTGGTCACTACGTACGCTTGAAGCTATTACAAGTTCATCTTAGTCGATAAACGTGAACGAGACAATGAACTAGCGTCCAAGTAGGCTACCTTGATGGCCAAACTACAAAACAGAAGACTTGGTAAGCGTAGAAAGTATATTCTACAACACCCAGCAAGCACAATACAATATAATCAAGCACACAACTCTCGTTTATTTATACATTATAAAAACGTCCTTGGGACAGTTACGAAAATAGCACACTAAAATGCACAGCAGCCAATCAGGGCCATGGATTTTCCTGGTGGGAAACGAAATCTCAAGGTCAACTGACCAGCTCATGCTCGCAAACGTGAAATCCAAAATAAGGCATTTATCAAGCGAGTATTGGGGATATAACAGCCCCAACATATGTATGTACATCGGTTCAAGTTGCCATACCATATTAGCACAGAGATTGCGGGTGGCCAATTCCAATCCGATAGTAGTAAAGGTATTAGAAGTATTAGCGATAATGAAAATATTAAAGTTCGAAGATATTATTCAAGAAGTATGATCCAGTGAAATGATTTTAAAAAGCGAAAAAAGGTGATGAGCAATTCAGAAGATTAGAATTTGAGACAATACAAAAAATGGATGGACTCAGGCTATGTTATTCATGGTTTCCAACCATCTGTTACTATTGACTTGCAGACCCCAACCTGATAGTCTACATATACTAACATGACTCAGTCTACTTGTCAGCGACTTTATGGATTTGTGCCACGCTTCGATCAGGCCGCCCCTAGCTTTCTTTCAGCCTACACCACAAAATATTGCTCATCGAGGCAGTCGGTGGTTGAACATACGTAACACATATCCTAACCATCTCAACTGATGAAGTTTCAATACGTCATCTATTGATATGCCATCCCTACCTAGTACTTGTTTCCTAACGACAGCATTGCTTACTCGATTGCCCCAAGATAGACGACCAATGCTTTGACCAAATCTTTGTTCGAATACTAATAACTTACGAATATCTTCGACTCTTACCGGCCATGTTTCGCATCTACATAGTAGGATGGAGAGAACCGCTGTACAGTAGACTCGTCCTTTGGTTAGCAGACGGATATCTCGCCGACGCCATAAGTAACGCAACTCGGTAAAAGTCAATCGATCCTTCTATATCCGTGCTGAGATTTCGTCAGCCACCAGGCCATCAGCACTGATGAAACTCCCGAGATAAGTGAAGCGGTCAACACGCACAACTACTTCACATCCCGTCAGTAGTTCAGGTGCCGAAGCAAGCCAATCCTGAAGCAATATTTTGCATTTCGAAGGGCGAACCGCATCCCGAACATGCTTGCATTGTTGCTTAAGGTGTTCGATTAGCCGCGACACCTTAAGATCCACCAAGTGTCGGAGATGCAGCATACATCGATGGCGTGAGATTCTAAATTTCTAGCTAAAGAGACTTGTTTTTTTACTTCGCACAAGGTCCGGACATAAAAAGACCCAACAGTTAGTTTAGAGTATGGTTTTAAGAGACTAGGAAGAACATTTGAGGTGCTCGAATGAATAGGATTAACGGTGCGAGTTGATAAAGACATATGAGAAGAGTTAGTAGTCGAGACAAGAGAGTTATTCAGAGGTGGGGAGGAAAGGATTTGATTGTGACTGATTAGGTTTTGTGCGCTGTTAACGGTACAAGCACGGATATTCACATAGTGCAAGGGTGTTTCCTGAAGAAACTGAAAAGGAAGGTAGATTAACGTTGGTCTTAACGACCTGGGAGCGTGACCGCAGAGTTTAAGGGACAACTGCTTGAGGCCAGTCAAGTACGGCCTTTTTATGAAATTTAAAGTGTTTGCTCCGCTCTTGTTTAAAAGCCCTTACCGCCAGAGACGGTGTGACAATTTTAGGGTCGACCTTTTCTAACCCTTCCTTTCTTGTGAGAAGGCAGAATAGCTGTAGATGCTGGTTGTCCAAGAGAAACACCTTATGCAGTCATATCCTTCTACATTCAGCAGTAAGACATAGGCCTCAGACCTTAAGTTGCTGTTTTTAGTCTCACTGTGTTCTCCAATCGACCTGTCTGACATGACAGAACCTAATGGAACATGTGTTCTAGCCAATACAATTCGGTTGGGTCATCACGATAGGCAAGCCCGATCACCATGGCAAGGTATCTGTGACGATGAAATAAAACCTAGCTTTTAAATTGCTGGTAAGATTTGTGCCTTAATCTCCTTATACTTTTGCCATGATTAACCTGTTTTTTTAAAAAATTCTTTTCATTCAAAGTCACGTGTGTGTTTGTTGACATGCTATGAAATTAAGAAAAAATAGTTCCAAACGTTAAGATAACCTTGTATTTGCCACAAGGTCAACCGAAATCAAATAAATGGTACACACCAATCATAAAAGTACAATAATAATATGATTAGTATAGTTGATTTAAAATATTTTCTACATCAGTCAACATAACTTGTCCTTTATGTTTGTATGTACGTAAGTACACACCAATGAGAGAGACAAGAGTAGAGTAATATACTTTTAATGAGGTTGAATGAAATATTTTCTCCGTAATGATGATTCGTTAAAATCTCATGAGCTTGGGCTTTTTAGTTTACACTATGAAAATACCACTCATCATATCTACATCAAGTCATTGAACCATTCTAGTAGATGTGTGGTGCGCGCTACTTATAAGTAGTATATGAAGCGAATAAAAACGTAATGTCTGGCAGCAGAAGATGGGGGAAGATCAAGAAAGGAAGATTGGGAACACAATGGAATTTGTATGAAACGCATGAATAGTGAAATGTCAGACAATGGATTGATGATGGATTGAAGGTTTGCAAATTAACGGTTACGATATGGTTTTCCTATTTTACTGTAATTTTCGCTAAATATAATTCGGTTGCCCTCACCTGTGTTCTCCTTCACTGCAGATGGATTCCACGTAATAACTGTGATCAGTCGCAGGAGACCTTAGTTGACATGGCTCCAAATATTTCTCTATTTCAATCTTGAATTCCTTAATAATATGCTTACTCATTTTGTATTTTTAAATCATACTCTTAGTGATTATTCTTTCTCATTGTCATGAATACGCTATTTCGATGTCTTTTACTAATAATAAAATATCTCTTATTGATTTCATCATCTCATCGTGTTCATATGATATGACAACTTAGACCAATACATATCTGTACAAAGTTGTATGTTAATGACTGACTGAACTGGCTGACGGGCTCTAAGAAGATAGAATGATAAAAAACACACAAAAAAAAGTATCAATCTATTCTATAGTTTATTTAAAAAAAGAAAAAAAAATAAATACTCACTTGGTTTTGTTGTATTAAATCCAATACTATTACTCCATACACATTTAGCATTATCATATTTTTTAGAATAATTTGGACTAATTGCGGCAGAAATTCCTATTGGTGGTAGTAATAGTTTATCTTTGATTGGATTCAATGCTGTATCCTAATAAAATAGATAATATATGAATATATAATAATGTAATATAATATATAATAATATGATGTAGTTTTCGATCATAGATGTTTAAGAAGCATTGCTTGTACATCGTGGGACACCTGAGTAAGGAATGCTGTCGTTAGGAAACGAGTACTAAATAACGATGGCAGATCAATAGATGAAGTGATGAAAATTCATCAGTTGAGGTGGTTGGGACATGAGTTACGTACGTATGCCTAACCACCGACTGCCTCGACGAGCTTTGTTTTGTGGTGTAGGAATAGGTTGGAAGAAAGCTAGGGGTGGCCAAGCGAAAACATGGCACAAATCCATGAAGTCATTGACGAGTGGACTGAGTCATATTGATAGATGTAGGCTACCTGGTTAGGGTCCGCGAGACGAAAGTCATCAATGGCTCACATGGCTCAAAATCGTTTGCAATGGCGCAAGTGCATCCATTCTTTGAGCTCTCTCAAATCCTAATCTTCTGGATTCGTCAGCACCTATACCTTTGTCTTTCTAACCTTATCTCACTGAATTATACTTCTTGAATAATATCTTCGAACCTTAGTCTTCTTCATTACCATTAATACATCTACTATCTTTATCACTATGGGATTTGATTTGACATTTGCGTCTCTGTGCTAATGTGGTATGGCAACATTGAACTTATGTACATACGTACGAAGTTCTACGTTGCAACTGACTGACTGAATATGATGTAGTCTATGAACATAGATTTATGTCAAAAGATTGTGAAAACTATTCAACTTATTCATCAAGCTAATCGATTGACTTTATGACTCTTCCCATACAACTAACCAAAAGTCTTGATATAGCGTAGAAAACATATTCTACAAACACTCAGCAATCATAATACAATCAAGCACACAAACCTCATTTATTTACATAAAAATAGCACATCAAAATACACAGCAGCCAATCACAGCCACCAGTTTTCCTACTGAGAGAAATGAAATCTCAACGTCAACTGATCAGCCCCATATGCTTGGAAACATTAAAATCCAAATTAAAGCATTTATCTAACGAGTTTTTGTGGATGGATCTAATGTCCACAACACTCCAATACTTAAAATATCCAGTATTAAAATTGAATAAGAAAGAAATAAGAAAAAAACTAAACTTACAGATTGATGTGTTAACAGTGAATTCGAATCAGATCCATTTGTCTCTTTCAAATCATCATGTGTATTAGTATTATTATTACTACTATTAATTGACTTCAATTGATGATCATCTGATAATTGACCAATGGTAGTGTTTATATCCGTGTTAAATATAGGCATTGATGATGGTGGTTGCAGAATAATTGTTTTAACTGATGATGATAAGGATGATGAGGAGGATGGATGATTTGTCGAGTATTCCGGTTGTATTGTAGGTATAGGTGTTACTAGGGAACTTGTCATAAAAGTAGTAGTAGTAGATGATGAACGTGTTTCTGACAAATGATTACTACTTGAAGAAATAGGATTTATTATTGATGGATATGGTTCTGGTGCAGTGATCATTGGTATATAAGAACCAATAAATCTCGGTAAAACCATTAATTGAGGTAATATGAAAAAACTAGGCGATGGTTGTGATCCATGCAATGTGGATGGTGTAAGTGTAGGTGGTGTAGGTGTAGGTGTAGGTGTAATAGGTCTAGGTGAAGGAAAAACCATTGTAAATCCATTCATTGGATTCGATTGATGTGAAATTGAATCTGTGTTAGATAGATACGAAGTTAATGGTGTTGTAGGCTGTGATGAAATAAAACTTGGATTACCATAAACAACATTAGTAAATTGTATAGGAGTTGGAAGTAATCCAATTCCGGAAGTAGTAGGGAAACTAGGTAATAATGTATCAATTTGTTCTGTTGAATTGGATGAACAATTGGATGATAGATTATTGATAATTTGTTTGACAGGTTGCGGAACAGTTAATTGTTCACAGCCAATTGATGTTGAAGGAGATGAAGTCTTCATTTGATTAGTATTGTTGTCCAGTTCTGTGAATAAGATTTTTGGAAACAAAAAAAAACTCTAATGTGTATGTTGTGAACATAAATATAGTGCAAAAAAAGAATTTAAATAATTTAATTTTTGTGGAAATCATGAATCGATCAATGTTAGACCATGATTACAAACCTGGAACCACTGGACGGCCGTTTCTTCCTAGGATGCAACTCACCAGGCGTGTTCATCCACGACCACCACTCGCAAGAATCTAACCCCAGACGTTCCCTTTGGTCTTGCACGCAAACGCTTAACCGTTAGACCACTGAGACAAAATCCAATAATGTTAACATCTAACTTTAGTCAATCTATGTTACTGTACATACAACCTTATCTACTATCTTCAATGAGGCACTACTTCACATCCAACACGGTCGAACTCAGACCATTGAACTAACTGGCTGACACCTGATGATTTACACGTCCAACCCACCTACACCATTGATTTGGAATCAGATAGACACTTTGTACTCACTAACCTGGATTAAGTCCCAGATATTCGTTTCTCGTTCTATCGATTTCCTAAAATACACTCTAACTTAATAAAAGCAATGAATAGAACAATCCTAGCAGAGGCTATAAAGAGGTAATCCACCCAAGACATATATATATATATATATATATATATATATATATATATAACCCATCAATTTCAGACCTGATTTTCAAAAACGACAAACACTTTAACTAAAATTGAATATATATACTATTCTTGAAGAGGATGTGAAATATTTTCGCAGTTGCTTTTACATCTGCTTTCATTGACTCTGCTGGAATGTTGTCTGGTCCTGCTGCTTTGCCGCTCTTGATTTGTCTGACGGCCATACTGATCTCCTCAATCGTAGGTGCGCCAATATTAATTTGGAGGTCCGTAGATGCTGCTTCGATGTTGGGTGTCTTCAGAGGAGCTGGTCGATTCCAGAGTTCCTGAAAGTGCTCTACCCACCTATTTCGCTGTTCTTCAGTGTTGCTGATTACTTTGCCTTCCTTGCTTTTCACTGGTCGTTCTGGTTTACGATAGTTCCCAGCCAGCTTCTTTGTTGTTTCGTCCATTTGTCTCAAGTTTCCTTCTCTTGCAGCCTTTTCCGCCGTCATTGCTAGATTTTCCACATATTTTCGTTTGTCAGCTCTGATGCTCTTCTTCACTTCCCTGTTTGCTTCTGTGTATGCAGCTTTTGCCTTAACTTTCTCTGCTCTAGTTCGGCTAACATTGATTGCTGCCTTCTTGTTCCTCCTTTCTTCGATTCTTGCAAGAGTATCAACAGATATTCATTCCTTGTGATGGTACAACCCTAGCAGAGGCTATAAACTTGTGACTTAAAGTTATAAACAGGTAATCATCAACTCAAGATATATATATATATATATATATATCAACATAGATCCATCGATTTCAGTGCTGATTATCAAGAACAGACAATACTCTAACTAAAATTGAATATATATATATATATATATATATATATATATATATCATATTATTCAAGAAGTTAGTAAGATAAGAAAATACAAAAAAAAGAGTAATAGAAGAAGAAGACTAAATTTCAACTTACTTGTTGTCGAATTTGCATTGTCTGTAAGTGAACGTGATGAATTTGATCGAGTGTAGTTAGTTGAAAGTCGTTTTTTAGGAGGTGGACGAATTTTTCTCTGTAGTACATTATTATTATTATTATTACTATTATTAGTATTATTATTATTGTTATTATTATTGTTACTATTAATGCTATTATTCTGTGAACTGGAAATTGGATTCCAGACAATATCTGTGGTGGCAGTAGTAGTAGTACAATGATGAGTTGTTGTTAACTTGGTAGGTTGAATAGCAACTAAATTGTCTGTAGGACGATTAAGGAGTGGTATTGTACTAGTGTTTGTGGTAGTAGTGGTGGTAGTAGTAGTAGTAGTGATTATGTTGTTATCACTTGAAACATTATTTTTCATATCATTCAAAATCTTATCTTGCATAATCATCATACTATTTGAGTATGATGCATTTACATTACTGATTGATGACGATGATGATGTTGATGATTCAACTGAATGTCCTTCCATCGATGTGGATGTGGATGCTGATGATGAGGAGGATGATGATGATACACTAGGTGGCAATGATTTTTCAATAGTGTTTTCATCTTCTCGTTTAGATGATAACCAACGAGAATTTTCACACAATTCATCACCTGAACAGTAATGAAATAAAATCTATTGTGTATGTGTGATTGGTTGGAAAATTGTAAAAAATTGCTAACCTAAAGTTTTTTTTTATTTAGAAAAAAATATATATATACTATCAAGGAAAAAAAAGAGGCATACAAATTTGAATTCTTCCTAAAAATCAGTCGTAACGTCTAATCCTTAATGGCCAGACATGATCAGCAACAATGTACTACTGTGGGAGAAAACAAACCAGATTCCAGTGGAGGAAGAAATCAGGAAGAAGTGGTGGAGTTAGTGGATAGGACACAGACATTGCGGAAAGCACTGAACTGCGTCACGAGACAAGCCCTCATATGGAACCCTCAAGGCAAAAGGAAAAGAGGAAGGCCAAAGAATACATTACGCCGAGAAATAGAGAAAGATATGAGAGGAATGAACAAACACATTGGACAGAACTGGAGAGGGAAGCCCAGGACAGAGTTGGTTGGAGAAAACTGGTGGGTGGCCTATGCTCCATTGGGGGTAACAGGCGTAAGTAAGCAAGTCTAATCCTAAAGAAAAATTACATTAGTTAACCTTACATAGTTCAAATCACTTAAACATACAATTTTCATCACTCAAACAAGTAGAAATAAATAGTTTTGACCAGAATTACACATATTCATTTGGTTTTGTTAGATTCTTACAATCTTACAATGCTTACAATCTATGCTATTTTAGAATCAAAATTATCATAAAAGCTAACAAACAAACCTATACAAGCATAGTTGATCAGAAATAAATGTGGGTTATTGAGAGAAATCAACGAGAAACTGTAAAATATCAAACTAATTAACTGAAGCTTATACAGCTAAACAATTTTAATGGATTACAGCCCGACCGTAGACGCTACCTTGACGTGGTGGTCGAGCTTGCCTATCGTTATGAGACAACCGAGCTATATTGGCTGCAACATATGTTCCTGAAGGTTCTACAATGCAAGGCAGGTCGATTGGAGAACGATCAGACTAAAAGCAGCTATTCAAGGTCTGAGGAAGAAGTCGTACTGCTGACTACTGCACAGGGGTGTGACAGCATTAAGGTGTTTCCCTCGGACAACCAGCATCTGCTGCAATGCTGTCACATCTCACCTTACTTCACAGATTTCCGTCTCCGTTGGTAAGGGTGTCCACTAAGGGCTTTTAAGAGCGATGCTAATACTCAAAAAACCTCCTATAAAAAGGCCATGAGTGACCGGCCTCAATCAGTTGTCCCCTGGGCTCTGCGGTCACGCAAACAGGTCTCTAAGACCAACACTAATCTATTGCCTTTACAGGTCCCTTAAGAAACAACCTTCCACGGTGTGGGCATTCGGGAGCTGACAACCGCCCTCATACCCGTAATGGATTACAGAATGAGATAACTAAACACAGATTATTGGTAATAGAATAACCTCAGTTGAAATCAGTCAAATAGTGACAAATTTAAAAGAATTGGAAATGTTGTAATCGAAATATCCTGCAGCCAAACTAATTGTCTTGTATACAAAAAAAACACGTTTTTTAATGCAATCGAGAATCAACAAGTACCTCTTCGTTCATGTTACCGCCGGACTGTGTGTGTATAAATTTACACACATCTATTAATACAGCAGCTATATAGATAGGACAGAAAACAGGATCTACATTCCATTCAAAAAAAAAACCTATTCTAAAGAGTTTTAGATTAAATTGTTTAAAAATTTTCAGCAACGCTATTTCAAAACATTTCTACTTGAAATAGAACCTTAGGTTGATACATCGAAATTTTTCAAGGTGATTGATGCAGTTGGACTGAGGTCTTCTGGAATTTTCCGAATCTATTGCTATCTCATATTTGAAGCTAAACATGTGTTTTTTTGAAAAGAAAATGGCAAATCTTTTTTCATTATGGTAAGATTACACTCACTCCACTATATCATTATCCCGTTAGGGTTTCGTGTTTCACTAAATAACAACGGAGTATTTTGAACTATGATAAATAAATGTTCTATTTAACAAGTAACTATTTCAACATGAACTAACATATATCCCTGAGGTTCAGTCAAGAAAATTAAAGCAGTCAGAATCGATCCTCTAAAGAGCTCTTGTCAGTTCAATAAAAATTAAAAAAAAATTAATCCATTCTAATCTGCTACTTGAATTTCTAATTTGCTACATTTCATGAGGAGAAAGTTTGATTAAACATGTCATAACGCTTTGCCATTTGTTTCCGGAATTGTTGTTGTATTATTATTATGCGTTTGATGTTTAAATTATACAGTTTTCCAAATCGAATCAGTTTGATATGAAAATTAAATGACAGAAAACAGGGATATATGATTGGTCAATAATCTAGCTAATTTTCTTGAATCTGATTGGTCGATAAACGAACAAAAGAGCGTGGAGACTGACATAAATAAAGCATGTATTAGCTAGACATTATCGATCGTGCCTAAAAACCTTGATAAACTAGAATTCAGGCAGAGATAATGAATGATGAATAATAGAGGAGAAAAAAATTCTAACTAACAATAAAATGTAGTACACAAAATTAGAAAATTTCCTATTCAATTATTGAGAAGAGAATATAACAACACCATGAGTACTAATTGAGACGTATCTATTTATCAAACTTTTATTCCGTTACAATTAGAGTTCCATGAAAATCAAATCAAATACATTGTTACTCGATTGAGTTGTACGTTCAATAGAAACAACCAATAGAATTTAAATATATTGTAAATAATTTGTCAATAACAATTTCAAAATACTCTCATTATATATAATAAGATGCGCTGTCAAGTTGTATGACATTAATACAAGTGTTTCATTGTATAGTATCAATGTCACAAGTCCGATTTCGGCGAAAAAAATATAACATTTTTAGAGTATGCTAATGAAAACAGTATAATTGAATGTTTTGTTATATCAATCCATGATAGATACGGAATTATCCTAATCACAAGTTAATGCATAAAATTTTTAGTGAAGGAGTAATCCCTCAGGAATAGTCACTGTCAATTATGATTAGTAATGTTTTAAAATCAGTAAATGATTTTTTTTTATGGCTAATAAATGATAATCGAGCCTTTTGTAATTGGTCTTAATTGTCAAAAATTAGTCTCCATGTCTCTATAGGAGCAACGCAATATACAATAATAATTTCAGTAAACAAACATTCACATTGACATAAAAATATTAGCATATTTTCAATAAATTATTACGTCACACAATAATATTTTACTCTAAAATAATAAAGAATATATCCCTTCAATGAATGAGTGTGATATAACTCTTAGTTCAAATTGTGAATCACGTCAAAGAATACACCGACTCTACAGAAATAGAGAATACGATTTGTTGAGTGAGATATGGTTGGTTATGGGAAAATTATTGTATATTTTGTGTATTGCTTTTCATCATGAACTACTGACACGTTCATTGGAGACCCTCTGAAAACCGTAGGGCATGAAACATTCCTAATCCTACTACTACGTAGCGCCCAAATGTTCCTTCATTCGTTATGGGTTACCTATCTTTCAATTGGCCAAATCAAAATGAAAATTTGCTTAACGAATCTTTGTACTATATCATCTGTATGGGAAATCGATCGAACTCGAAATAAAAGTTGTTTACAATTCAACGAATCTCAGGAAAACAATATATATATATTTTATTTCTTGCAATTCTTACTGTCTATCAAAACATTGTTATTTTAATTATCTATTTACTTGACAAACTATAAATAGTAGCAGTCATGCAGTTTTAAAAATCAAACTCTATATAAATCTGTTAATTTGTTTGTTCCAGATTTATTTATGTTATTATTTCATGTAATGGAAATGAATAGTTTGAGACACTACTACTGACAAATATCATACTCTTCATGAAACTTGAAAATCTTAAATGCAATGGCAACCGAAGTAATCTATGCATGTTATCGAAGAGTCTTCAACTTGGACCGAAGCACATGAGGTCGAATCCTGTGAGGTGCATGAGTCCTGGAGGCGCGCACTGCCACTGATGAGTCAGTCCCATACCAGAACAAAACGGCCGTCCAGTGCTTCCAGGTCTCTAATCGTGGTCTAACATTGATCGATTCATGATTTCAATATATAATATATATAGTAAAACAAAACTCAATAAAAAATTTAAACAAACTTTGACTTTTCAATCCCATCATAGTGTTGTTCATATCAGTAAGAGTACTACTACTACTACTAGTAGTAGTAGTAGTAGTAGTAGTATTAGTATAAGGTGTATTTCTTATTCCACATAAATTATTCACTTTTGATGTATTCTCATCTAATTCCATCATTATTTGTCCCATATTCAAAACCATATCATCAGTATTACTACCATGAGCCAATGATAAAATAGTTCGTGCAGCTTGTAATTCATCTTGACTACGATCATTATATTCCATTGTATTGGATTGCAATAGATTGATATCATGTGTATGAAAAATATAATCTTTTGGATAAATAGTTGTTAAATTCGTATAGCTTTTTTGATTCTCTTTACCAGAATTCATTGAAGATAATGTAGAAGAGGATGTGGAAACTAGAAAGAAGGGAAAAATATTAAAAAGAAAAATACAAATTAATGCTTGGATGAGGTCGCGCAACAATCTCTACATCAATCAGAGTTAGAGACATTAACACCGTTGGATGCCAACCAAGTGATCCACTGGTTAGGCGTTCGCATACAATACCGAAGGTCCCAAGTTCGAATCCTGTCGGATGCAGGAGTCGTGGATGCGTACTGCCACTGATGAGTCTCATACCAGGACGAAACAGTCGTCTTTCAGTTTTTCCAGGTTTCTAATTGTAGTCTAACAATGATTGATTGATGATTTCAAATGTGTAAAAACACTAATCTCTCTCTGTAACTCTAATTGAAAATGTCCATTGTATGTCGATCTAACGATTATACATTTATTTTTTTTAAAAAAAATAAAATAAAAATCAATCTTTTACATATGTAAGAAACACAATGGACTCTATGCGTGAAAATCTGCCAACTATCCAAAAAATGTGATTGTGATTGTTGTTTTTATTAGTAATCATTTGATTTGATTGGAACCATTTTTAATCAATTTTTAATCAATTCAATCAACTAGTTTTGCATTGAACTTTTCGTATTGTGATCACTAATGAAATTTAACCAATTGATTATAATAAAGTACATGGGTTGAAAAGTTCGCGTGTAATTTCTGTTGTCTAGTTAATTTACTTATTCAGTCAGTCAGTCAGATGCAACGTAGAACTTCGTACGTAAGTACATCAGTTCATGTCACCATACCACATCAGCACAGAGATATGATTGTCAATTCAAATCCAATAGTAGAAGAGGTAGTAAAGGTATTCAGGGTCTCTAACCATCGATTATTATCATCTCGCGGACCCCAACCAGGTAGTCGACAACTACCAACATGGCTAATTCCACTCGTCAATTACTTCGTGGATTTCTGTCATGTTTTGGTTTGGCCACCCCTAACTTTCTTTCAACATACTCCTACACCACAAAACATAGTTCGTCGAGGCAGTCGGTGGTTGGGCATACGTAACACATGTCCCAACCACCTCAACTGATGAAGTTTCATTACTTCATCTATTGATCTGCCATTCTTACCTAGCACCCGATTCCTAATAACAGCGTTGCTTACTCGGTCGACCCAGGGTATACGAGCATTGCTTCTTAAACAACTATGATCGAATACTAGTAACCTACGAACATCTTCTACTCTCGCTGGCCATGTTTCACAGCCATAAAGTAAGACGGAGCGAACTAACGCGCAGTACACTCGTCCTTTAGTCAGCAAACGGATATCTCGCCTACGCTAAAAGTGACGCAGGTTGGCAAAAGCCAATCGAGCTTTCTGTATCCGAGCTGAGATTTCGTCAGTCATCAGGCCATCGGCACTGATGAGACTCCCCAGAGATAAGTGAAGCGGTCAACACGCTCGACTAATTCACTTCCTATCACTAGTTTCTATTATTTCATTTCAAGAAAAAAAGATTGATGAAACGTTGAGTACATTTTATATATATTATGATAATTAATCTGTTTCGATTGATATGAGAAAAGCACATAACACACAAAACCAAAAACTTCATTCCTTCTGAAAATTATTAAGAAGACGTAAAGTAACAATAAAATGTAATCCTTGTATTCTTAAAATTACATTATAATTATTTAAGTGTAGTATTTAAGGACTAAAGTCACATGATTTACAGCCTACTTCGAAAACTTACAAACAAACCGAATAATATTGCTTGACTGAGACGTATGTATATACTACTACTAACCAAATTATAGAAATAATTGTTATGGTTGAATAACATCCAGACATAATGAGTAGTGATTGATGGCTGTTTTAATGGTTGAAGCATACAACTTTCAATTAGATTTCAATCCAACGATATCTACTTCAGTTTAGACAACCAGGTAATGTAACTTCACTACTGGTCATCACAAACAAATGAAATGATCTGATTTAAAGCTGAGAAGATAAACTAACATGTTGTAACAAGATTTTTTTGAATTATGTTGATAGCTTAAATGTAGCTAGCTATATTACCCCATTTCTTTTCAAGGAGAATCAATATTTGCATAGTTATTGTGTCACTCTAATCCGATTTGTCACGTTCTTGCACACACACACACACACACACATTTACAATGACTAATAATGAATGTGTGTGTGTGTGTGCAACCAAGTATACACAATTATTAGTCATATGAGAAAAAAAATTCCATTTCTCATAATAGAAATTAACACCAATTTATTATTCGCCTTAGTTTATTTTATACAGAATAACACGTGAATGAACCAGTGAACATTGAATTTTTGAATTGAAAAAGTCTTAAATGATATAATCATAGTGAAATTTCCGAAATCACCTAACCCAGCTATATTAGCTGAAACATATATTCCTGAAGGTTCTACCATGCCATGCAGACAAGTAGATTGGAGAACGATGAGACTAAGAGCAGTTATTCAAGGTCTGAGGGCGAAGTCGTACTGCTGACTACTGCAGACGGGTGTGACAACAGCAAGGTGTTTCCCTCGGACAACCAGCATCTGCAGCGATGCTGCCTTCTCACAAGGAACGAAGGGTTAGAAAAGGTCGACCCTAAAAATGTCACACCTCACCCTACCTCACGGATTTCCGTCTCCAGGTAGATTTTGTTCTTCTTATAAAACAAAATGACAAAAAAGTAAAAATAAAAACATCGAATATGAGAAAAAAGTGATAGTAAATAATACAGATAATTTACTTCCATTTGAAATTATTGTTCACAATAGAAAAACCAAAAATTAATGTTAGGAGTATAGAATTTGTAGCTCATTATAATCATTACATTAAAAGATCCAACATGTAGTTTAGAACAAGGTTTCAAGAGAACAGGAATAACGTTTCGTGAACTCGCATCGTTCGCATTAGCGATACGGGGTGATAAAGGGATGTGAGTAGAGTTAGTCATGGAGATAAGAGAGATGTTAGGAGGTGAAGGAAGGATTTGGTTTCGACCAACTTGGTCGCATGTACTGTTACGGATATCAGGAGCGATTGTCACTTCCCGGCTGCACACACCGTAGAAGGTTGCGTCTTGAGCAACTTGAAAAAGAAGGTAGATTAACGTTGGTCTTAGAGATAGGGTGCGAGATCGCAGAGCCAAAAGGACAACTGCTTCGGGCCAGTCACGCACGGCCTTTCTATGAAAGGTTTTTTGAGTATTAGCTCCGCTCTTGAAAGCCCTTGGTGGGCACCCTTACCCAAGGAGACGGAAATCCGTGAGGTAGGGGAGGTGTGACATTTTTAGGGTCGAATTTTTCTAACCCTTCCTTCCTTGTGAGAAGGCAGCATCGCTGCAGATGCTGGTTGTCCGAGGGAAACACCTTACTGCTGTCACACCCCTCTGCAGTCAGTCAGCATTAGATTTCGCCCTCAGAACTTGAATATCGTTCTCCAATCGATTTGTTTGGCATGGTAGGACATATAGGAACATATGTTCAAGACAATATAGCTGGGTTAGTTCACCAGGATATGCAAGCTCAACACCACGTCAAGGTAACTGCTACGGTCGGAACAATCATCTATACACTTAGCAAAACGATCCATTGAAATTTATACAGCATCAAATCAACTATTAAAATTGAGTTTCATCATTTTGATTAGAATTTTAAAAAAACTTTGTCACTCAAATTAGATTAAGTAGTATGAAAGTTAAATAATCAAACAATCGTTTGTTTGTTCATTGTTTTCGTTGAGTCCTGTTTTAAAATGATTTATGATTACCGCCTACATTCATCTTTAAAGAAGAAAAATATTTGGAAAATTAAACACTTGATATCGTTATTTACACTGAAATACATAATTAGAAGAATATTTCATTTCAGTAGCGGAATATAAGAAATGATGAATATATATATATATATATATTCATTCAATATTCCACATAAATTACCGATAAATCTTAAACTTTGAATTTGAGTATTTATGAGATCGATTTTACAGTCAGTCAGTTGCAACGTAGAACTTCGTACGTATGGACATAAGTTCATGTGCTAATGTGGTATGGCAACATGAACTTATGTACATACGTACGAAGTTCTACGTTGCAACTGACTGACTGTCTGACTGTAAAATCGATCTCATAAATAATCAAATTCAAAGTTTACAGTAAACCGGGAAAATAATCATAGTAGACTTGAACATAATTATTCTGTGTAACAGTCAGTCATTTGTAACGTAAGAAATTCGTACGTATGTACATAAGTTCATGTTGCCATACCACATTATTAACACAGAGACGCAAATGTCAAACCAAATCCCATAGTGATAAAGATAGTAGAGGTATTAATGGTAATGAAGAAGAATAGGGTTCGAAGATATTATTCAAGAAGTATAATTCAGTGAGATAAGGTTAGAAAGACAAAGGTATAGGTGCTGACGAATCCAGAAGATTAGGATTTGAGAAAGCTCAAAGAATGGATGCACTTATGCCATTGCAAACGATTTTGAGCTATGTCGTTCACGGTCTCTAACTATTGATGACTTTCGTCTCGCGGACCCCAACCAGGTAGTTCTACATCTACCAACATGACTCAGTCCACTTGTCAGTGACTTCATGGATTTGTGACATGTTTTCGCTTAGCCGCCCCTAACTTTCTTCCAACCTATTCCTACACCACAAAACAAAGCTCGTCGAGGCAGTCGGTGGTTAGGCATACGTACGTAACACATGTCTCAACCACCTCAACTGATGAATTTTCACCACTTCATCTATTGATCTGCCATCGTTATCTAGTACTCGTTTCCTAACGACAGCATTGCTTACCCGATTGTCACACGATATACGAGCAATGCTTCTTAAACATCTATGATCGAATACTAGTAAGTAACCTACGAACATCTTCTACTCTTAACGGTCATGTTTCGCATCCATATAGGAGAACGGAGCGAACCGCCGCGCAGTACACTCGTACTTTGGTTAGTGAACGGATATCTCACCTACTCCATAAACGGCGTAAATTGGCAAAAGTAAATCGAGCCTTCTGTATCCACGTTGAGATTTCGTCAGTCATCAGGCCATCAGCACTGATGAGACTTCCCAGATAAGTGAAGCGGTCAACACATTCGACTACTTCACTCCCTATCACTAGTTCAGTTGACGATGCAACCCAATCTTGAAGCAACATTTTACATTTCGGGGGAGGGAGGAGGTAAAACCGCATCCCGAACATGCTTGCATTGTTGCTTATGATAGTCAGAAGACTCTGCCTAACAGTGCTCCAAAATATCAAATAGTAAACAAATGTGCTTGTCCCTATTCTAAAACTACTCGATTAATCAATCCACTTAATGATATATATTAACGACGCTATAACCTATTTAAAAAATTGATTGGTTAACACACCTAGCATTGTAATGTGTACATTCAAATTAATAATAAATCAAATCTAATCAACAAAAATCATTTTTTTTTGTCCTTTAATTTAAAATAAAATAATGAATCAAAAACGACACATTATCATGCATCAATAGTTTATGCTTTTTTACTTTGCAACAAAGATAACATTTTCACATGGCAAATATAAATCAGAACAAAACAGAACAATAATGAAACTGAAAAAAATTTAAACACTTCTTATCAACATTACTTGGATTAAAATGATTTGATTGACATTATTTGAAAAAGCAATGCTGTCGTTAGGAAACGAGTACTAGGCAAGGATGGAAGATCAATCGATGAAGTGGTGAAAATTCATCAGTTGAGGTGGTTGGGACATGTATTGCGTATGCCCAACCACCGACTGCCTCGACGAGCCTTGTTTTGTAGTGTAGGAATAGGTTGGAAGAAAGTTAGGGGCGGCGAGACCAAAACTTGGCAGAAATCCATGAAAAAAACTGACTAGTGGACTGAGCCATGTCGGTTATTGTCGACTACCTGGTTGGGGTCCGCGAGATGATAATAATCGATGGTTAGAGACCTTGAATGACATGCCTCAAAATCGTTCGCAATGGCGCCGGTGCATTTATTCTTTGTGTTCTCTCAAATCCTAATCTTCTGGATTCTTCAACACCTTTAGTTTTGCCTTTGTAAACTTATCTCACTGAATCATACTTCTTGAATAGTATCTTCTAATCCTAACCTCTCCGATTACTTCTAATTCCCTTACTACCTCTACTACTATTGGATTTGAATTGACAATTATATCTCTGTGCTGATGTGGTATGGCAACATGAACTGATGTACTTACGTACGAAGTTCTACGTTGCATCTGACTGACTGACTGACTGACATTATTTGAAAAAAAATAAGATAACACACATCTACACAAATATATATATATGTACTTACTTAACATGGAATTTGTAGATCGATAAGACAACGCTGATGATGATGATGAGGATGAGGATGCTGATGACGAGGATGACGAGGATAAAGACGAACAATTGACCGGTAATGATGAAGGCATAGTATTCAATTCGGTCAAATATTCTTTTACATGACCATTATTCATTCGATTAAATAATACTGTGGTGGTGTTGGTGTTATGATGATGATCATTATTATCAATCAGTGTATGAGTAGGATCCACCAATGATGCTGAAATACATTGTTTCACAGCGGATTTATTTGCACAAATTAACAATTCAATAGTTTGATTAGGAGAAAGATGAAATTTAAGAATTCCTGTAATCGATGATGAGGATGAGGAGGAGGAGGATTGACTACAATGTGGAAGGAAATTGGCATTGTTCGGTGGATTTGATTCATCATTCAAATAAGTGATGCATTGGTCTGATTTTGATGACTAATATTGATTTTGTAATATGAAATGATCAGAATGATAAACAATAGAATAAAAGGAAAAAATATATAGAAGAAACTATAGAATGCATTAAATATAATAATTGGATCTGTTAAGGTTAATTACAAACAAGGGTAGGTAATTGCATACTTTTTTGTTTGTTTGTTTGTAGAGGAAGATGTGATAGAAAAAAAATAAATGAATCCCATAAGGGAGAAAGTGATTTAATACAAAATATTGAAGTAACGAAAAAAGCATACAATGAAACTATACTATTATTATTATTATTATTATTATTATTATTATTATTATTATTATTATTATTATTATTAGGTTATTTACAATCTCAATGAACTCTACTTAAAGATGACACAAAATCTTTGATCAAAAAAAAAGAGTAAAAGTTAAGTTAAAGAAATTTTTTGCCTAATAAAAGTTAATAATAAAACTAGCGATGAAATTAGAAAAATGTAGAATAATTTTGTAAAATATTGAATGAACTATTTGAAAATAAATTTATATATATATATATATATATATATATATATATATATATATATATATATATATATATATATATATATATATATATATATATATATATACTTGAAACCATAAATCGATCAATATTAGACCTCCATTAGAAACATGGAAGCACTGGACGGCCGTTTCGTCCTGGTATGGGACTCATCAGCAGTGCTCATCCACGACTCCAGCACCTAGCAGGATACGGACCAAGGACCTTCGGTATTGTAGGCGAACGCCTAACCATCGGACCACTGAGCCGGTATCTAACGGTGTTAATGTCTAACTTGATCAAATTCACGGAGTTGCGCAAACTCATACACAGTCTTCGGTAGTTACTGTCTACACCCGAACAGGTTGAACTTCACTGGTCACGTCTTCCCACTAGAACTCGGAGAAGATTCCTCACGAAGCTAGTCACTAGTGAGCACAGGTAATTAGCATTACGGAGTTTTAAAGATTGTTAAGTTACACATTGTTGATCGATTCATAGTTTCAAATATATATATTTATATATAAATATATATATATTTGAAACATTTCACAATAAATCAAACACATGAACTTTGATAATGTACATTTCTAAGATGATGGAGAAAATTTGTAGCTCAGGTGGATGGATGATTGTTGCAGTGTTTCATTCTCTCTGAGCTCTGAATGTTTTGGTTGTGAAACTTTCATTGTTCTTTGTTCTGCTGAAAAACAACAACGTCATTAGCACAAATGTCAGATGGAAGCTTGTGCTAATGATGATGTTATTGTTCAGCCGAAGAACAAAGAACAATGAAAGCTTCACAACCAAAACATCCAGAGCTCAGAGAGAATGAAACATCAGCACAATGGGGATTTCTTTTATTTTTCTAAATCATACACAGAATCCAATACATGAGATTGTGTCCAGTAAAGTATGGAAAATAAAACTGGATAAGATAATTTTAAAAAAAAAGTAAATACACCTCTACGATTAAAAACAGATAGGTTCAAATATTATAGATATTCCTTCTGCTAAATTTCATGAAATCTAAGGTTTTCGTTTCTTGCTGATTAGCTTCAACCACCAACAACACCCCCCCCACCTAGCATTAGTTACAATTATCGTGCAGAATTTGAAAAAAATAGTCTGAACTTTATTACTACATGAGGTTCAGATCAAATAGGCAAATACTTCATGCCTTAGTTTGACAATGCTCCAGTTTTCCTTAAACCAATACCTACACTAACACTGAATAATAATAACAATAATAATAATAATAATAATAATAATAATAATAATAATAGTTCAGTTACATCTGTTTCTCAAAAGAAACAAATTAACTTCATTTTATTGTTGACTCAAAAATAAGCTTTAACTAATTACTATTCTGACTGGATTTTCTTGTTTTTTTTAAAAAATGTTTTAAACCATACAATCTTTAACGAATATGACTCATTCCATTTTGACCTCACTTTGACCTTTTACAATTAGTATACAACAACCAAGTTAAATTCATATTGTTTTAGTATTCACAATAAATAAATAAGGGTAAATTGATTTGTCTTTGTGAAAGAAACTGTTTTAAAAAGAAGTTTAATTAATCAGCTGACTACATACATGTATTCCAAATAGTTTTAGGCTAGATTACTGTATAGAGTTTTGGGCATAGAAAGCACTACAAAATCTGAAATCCAGAGGATATTGTGCTCTAATAGTGTACACTTTGGTTTTGAATAAGTTTCTGTTTGATATCAACAATCCATAGGGAAATTAATATTCAAGAAACAAAACTCAAAATATCTAATCAATTCAAGTGAATGAAATAGACCAAATCACACTTGAATTTCATTTTAATCCTAATACGGAATAAACTAATTCTCTACCATTAAACTCATGATTCACTCATATTTAAATCTTCAACACAGTAACATGCCTAAACCATATACAACAGAGTGAATAAGTATGGATCGTGATTGTGGAGCTGTACAATCAACTTAATCATGTATTTATTACAAGTAAATTAGACGACCGTTTCGTTCTATTATGGGACTCTTTAGCAGTGCGTATCCATGAACCCCGCTGGCGAGAATCGAACCCCGAACTTCCGATCTAACAGATAGTGATTCATGATGTCAATCAAAAACTAAAATCTCCATAGCTGTATGTTGAATATCAGAAAAATGTGCTCACCAATGACTAACTTCGTGAGGAAATCTTGAGAGTTTTAGTGAGAAGACGTGACCAGTGAAGTTCAACCCCGTCGGATGTAGGTAGTGTTACCTACCGAAGATAATTGGTGAGTTCGCGAGAAATCTTAGGGTAATCAAAGATAGACATTAATATTGTTGGACACCGGCTTAGTGGTCTGCAGGTTAAGCGCGGGACCGAAGGTCCTGAGTTCGATTTCACCAGTGAGTTTCGTGGATGCGCACTGTTGAAGAGTAGTCCCATAATAGAACAAAACAGCCGTTCAATGGTTCCAGTTTTCTAACGATGATCTAACAATGATCGGTTCATGATTCTAACCAAGAATTAATTGATTCCATATATATATTTTAATAAACTTTGAATTATTCTAACCGATTAGAAAGTAATGTGCATACAGAAACATACAATACTTTTATTCATTTTCTATGGAGTGGAAATTAGTATTTTATAATTAAACATTAATGTTAATCGAACAAGAAATGTTAAACAGCCTGTAATTTATACTAACCAACTACTTAATAGTGCAAATTCATACGTTTTATAATAGTGATTTCGGACGACCAACTATGAAAACTGGTTTTAAGACAATCGACTTAATGTCAGGGTGATGATCTTTGCAGCCCCAGTGAAAACTGTTATGCTCGTCTCTCGGTATGCTTACAATATTACGAGTTCACCTTAGACGAATAACGCGAACAAAACAATGAACAAGCGTCCAGGTAGGCTACTGTGATCCCATGACCAAAACGTATCAGCAAGAAGTCTTGATATACCATAGAAAGTGTATTCTACAAACACCCAGCAAGCACACAATCAATCCAAGCACTCAAATTGCATTTATTTATACACCATAGAGACGTCCTTGGGAGAGTCACAAAAATAGCACATTAAAATAACACATCAATCAATCACAGCCAAGGATTTTCCTGGTGGGAAATGTGATCTCAAGGTCAACTGATCGGTCCATGAAATAAATCCAAAATAAAGATATTTATCAAGCGAGTTCTGGGGATCTAACATCCCCAACAAAAACCTTTGTCATAACAACAATCCCTGGTTAATGAATCATTCCTAAATCTAATTAATGGATTAAGAAGCCAATAAAGTGATTTACAATAGTAACTGTTTTAATTATCTCATTGAAATCATGAACCAATCAATTTTGGACCACCATCGAAAACCTGGAAGTAATGGTAAACCGTTTTTGCTCAAGTATGGTTGGTGCCCTTGCGCGCGTGTGTGTGTGTGTGTGGTAATTTCAACAGATATACACATGTGCTAGTTTCCACTTTTTGCTTATAACTCGACTCATTCAATTTGCATTCCACAAGATACGAAGTCTTCTGTTTTTTCCTTTTTTGATCAAATAGGATTTTTTTTAAAAATAATTTATAGACAAGATTACATTTTATGACAATAAGAAATACCAACTAAATAGTGTTTATTGTCATTCAATAATCAGCAAGTATTATGAAAGTGAATTGGATAAGAAAAACGAAACCAATATACTACATTTATTTTACTACATAATTTAATACAAGGAAAAAAACACAATAACAATTACTGCCTACACCCGACAGCGTTGAACTCCACAGGTCACGTGGTCACATCTTCTCACTAGAACTCCGAGAATTTCCTCACGAAGCTAGTCACTAGTAAGTACATGTTACGATATTTTCAGTTAGAGTTTTGGAGATTTGTGTTTTTACACATATGGGTGAGGCCGCGCAAAATCACTAGATCAATGAGAGTTACACATTATAACACCATTGGATGCCGGCTCAGTGGTCCAATGGTTAGGCGTTCGCGCACAATACCGAAGGTCCTGGGTTCGAATCCTGCGGAGTTCAAGAGTCGTGGATGCGCACTGCCACTGATGAGTAGTCCCATACCATGACGAAACGGCCGTGTTTCACTGCTTCCATGTTTCTAATGGTGATCTAACAATGATTTACTGATGATTTCGAAAATACAATATCAATTGGTGATTTAAAGAGAACACTTACAAAAACTAATACATAATGAGTTGGTCTGTAGTGAATACACACCATGACCTTAGTTTATGTGGTGGTGCCGGTGGGGTTGGTTCTACAAAACAAACTAACATGAATTGTACTATACCATAAAATTTCAATGTGAACACTGTAAAAGCAAACAGAAAAGTAATGATGATGATCACAATCATAATAGTACTACTACTAGTAGTAGTAGCAGTTAATTAATGAGAGATTTATCCGGCTAAGATAGTAGTATAAAACATGAGATGACATGATTGAAATTACGATGAGCTTTTCTC